CAGGGTTAGTATGGTAGAGTTCTGGGTTTAGATGACCACTGAGTAAGGCACACAGAGACAGACAGGTGAAGAGACGCACACCCAGGCTGACTGCCCCCGTCAACTCACAATGTGAAGGTCTCGTTCCACTCTGGGTTGAGGGAGCACTTAATGGTCTTGGTCTTCTGCTTGCTTTCACTCTTGGGGTCCGGGATCAGCTTCAGCTTGACGTAGGGGTCAGACAAGCCATTGGGGTCCATGGGCACCAGGTTCTTGGCATCTTTAACTGAACAGAGAGATGGCCACAGTGAGAGGCATCACTAACACAGAGGTGGACGCTGTGAATCCAGTCATGAATAATAATAAGAATTCCTTACACTTATACAGCGCTTTCCTGGACACTCCACTCAAAGCGCTTTACAGGTAATGGGGATCCCCTCCACCACCACCAGTGTGCAGCCTCCACCTGGATGATGCGACGGCAGCCATAGTGCGCCAGAACTCATGACTACATCACACATCAGCTATTAGTGAGGAGGAGAGCAGAGTAATGAAGCCACTTCAGAGATGGGGATTATTAGGTGGCCATGATTGTTAAAGGCCAGTGGGAAATTTGGCCAGGATGCCGGGGTAACACCCCTACTCTTTGCGAGAAACGCCCTGGGATTTTTAATGACTACAGGAGAGTCAGGACCTCAGTTTTACGTCTCATCCAAAGGACGGCGTCTTTTTACAGTATAGTGTCCCTGTCACTATACTGGGGCATTAGGACCCACATGTGAGCGCTCCCTGCTGGCCCCACGAACACCTCTTCCAGCAGCAACCTTCGTTTTTCCCAGGAGGTCTCCCACCTGCTGAGCTTCAGGGGGGCTGCCAGTGGTGAGCAGCAGGCTGATATGGCTGCTGGCTGAATCCAGCAGACTCATCAATAGCCCAGTCCTCTTGGGCTCCCTTAACCCTGACAGTCTCTTACCTCATCAGAGACACACCTCTCTACTTCCACCCTCCTCCAGCAGAGAACAGCAACAGCTGAAGTTGCCTCTTTCCACACTGCTAAGAGTGAGGCATTTCAGATTTTGAAGAGTACCAACTTTACTGTATATCTCTCCATCTTACCATATATCCAGACTTTTACTGTACTGAAGGTATACCCTCCATGTTACTGCACATCACTAATGAGCTGGACACAGCTGGCAATTGCTACTGGAAATGGTTGCTGTTGGGACACAGCAGATTAATCACAGAAAGCTTGATTGTTTTGGGGATGAAAATGCTTTTGCGCTATTAAACCATTAGACCTGCTATTCTCTCACCTTGCACTCACCCAGCACTTGACCAGTGCAACAATTTGCATGTAATAATACATCCAATTAATCAAATAAACCAGCTGCTGTCTCGGAAAAAAAAACGAAATCACGTGGAACCAAAAGGCTTCACTACATACACCCTATTCCGGACATAATAGATCACGCACAATACTTGCTGTCTTTAAAAAGATTGAGGCAAGCCCCAGTGAAACAGATTACAGCGTTGAGCCAAAATGGTCCGGAGGGATAAAGATTAGCCCAGTTTGTGAAGTATTAAATGAAGGGAGAGTGGAAGACTCTGTGTGGAAGAGATGATAGGCTATTTGCAATCTAAACCTCATGGGACTCATTTACACAGATGGGCTAACTGAGGACGTCCAGGTAGAGTTCCTTGTTTGAAGATGTATAAGCTGTCTGTGTCACGAATATGAACCCATGACTTTCTGGTCCAGAGTCTAGGATCTTTTCTTTTTTTAAGATCACTTGGC